TTGAATGTAGAGGAAACATGGGACCTGGCATAAGTATCTTCATTCCATAGGCTTACGATACATAGAAGCACAAAGCTAACACCTTCTTAACGAACTGTCCAGTCATCTGGGAAACAAGGAAATTCCTGTCATGTTCTTCAAGTGTATAACTTTCTTCTATGTGCCTTTTTCTACACTAAAACCATTGAGCGTTTATTGTGAACTTTGTTATGTACCAGGTACTTTGGGGCTTTTTAAATTAAATGATCTGTAAACCTCACATCCATGTAAGGTAGATGGCGTGTCATTTTGAAGATAAGGAAACTGAGGTGCAAAGAGATTAAGTAGCCTTCCCAGGATCAAGAGCAAACATGTACCAAAGCTGGGATTTGTATCTGATCTTTCCACAACCCTCAATTCCTCCTGTCTACATTGCTTTGATATACGGAGCTGAAAGACAGTGTCCAAACAGCATGCTCTCCTGGGCCTTCCTTTGCTAGCCCTCTTGCTCTTCTCTCCACCTTTGTGCTTCTGGTAACTGAGGTTGAGTCTTTGGACTATTCAGTTCTGTTTTGTGTGTGCGTGCATGTGTGTCTGTCTCAAGGTAATTCATGAGAACATAACCTCTTGTTTGAAGCCCTTTAACTGTCTCCATATTCTTCCTCCATCACTACCTCCAAAATGGCCTGCAGATGTGCTGGGATTACACCAGTAGAATGATAGAGAACCAGACTGGAAGCATTAACATCAGTCTCAGCCATTAAAAATAAAGTAGCAATCCGAGTCACAGTAGCCGTGGCAAAAGAAGAGAGGACTTGGAGTCCGAGAGATTAGTGACTGATCTGTGGGAACTCCAGAGGGGTTTGCATTTACCTCATAAACACTGGGAGCAGATTTGGTTCCTGACATACAAGCGGCCTTTCTGACTAGCCAAGAACTGCCCCACTAAGAAAATAGAAATTTGAGGGTAGGGAGAGTGGAGAAGAGAACAACCAGCATAAAAATTTTGGGTTCCAGAAGGTGGGAAGAAAGAGTGAGTGCCAGGAGGGGAGAGAATGGTGTACCAAAGGAAGTGGGGAAGGACCACAGACTTCTTGGTAAAATTTGCCAATTTCTCTGAAGGAGGAAAAAAAAAAAAAAAAAGCCTGTGGTGAAGTTGTTCACATTAAGATATTCTGACATTGTGTAACCTCTCTCACAGAAAATTTGGGATTATAAAATGTAATTGCAAAAAAGGCAGCCATTTAACCCAAAGGAACAGATTTCTAATGATGACAGTTAGGTATCAGGGAGCGAACAGGTGGTAAGAGACATCAGAGATGAGGGAGTGTGTTCCGAGTATCCCAGAAATCCTACCATATCCTTTCTCTGCAGTTCTTCAGAGTGCTCTGGGCAATTTGACTGGAAACTGGGGAGATGGTGGAGGCCAGAGGCCATGCAGCCTGGTCCTTTCTGTTGTAGCATTCCCCTGAGGGGCCCTGAAGCTCGCTTTTCTTGGACTGATTTTCTGCCAGTTTTCAGTCAAGAACACTGAACGTGTTCCAAGGATAGTTGGTTAGAAGTCTAGCCACCTTGGAAAATCTGGGAAGGGAGAGGATAGAGTTTGAGATGGTTTTCTTCACTACTGTGGTTCCTTGCATGCTGTGAGCCCTCTGAAGATGTGAGGAGAAATTTGTGTCCCATGTCCCGTTCTTAGAAAAATTGATGCCCCCAAAGCTATAGCAGCTTATGCAAGGTTATGGGGTGTGGGTACCTGAGGTGGGACTATGACTCAATGATCCTGTCCCCACTTTATAAAACATTTTTCTTTTTCAGATAAAAATTGTATATAGTCAAAGTATACAACTTATTGATTTAATATATATATCAAAGTGATTACTATGATCAAACTAATTAACATAGCATCTCCTCATATAGCTTGGTATGCTTGGTGAGAACATCTGAAATCTACAATCTAAGCAAATCCAACTATTCAGTCTTTTTAACTCTGGTGGTCATGCTGTACATTAGTTATCCAGAGCTGTTCAAACTGCTGAACCATAGCTTTGTACCTTTTGACCACCATCTCTCCATTTCCCCCACCTCCCTACCCCTGATAATCAGTCTTCTAGTCTCTGATTCTATCTATTTTAGTTCTAAAAGATGCCACATATAAATGAGATAGTGCAGGGTTTTTATTTTCCTTTTAATGTCCTCAAGTTTCATCCATGTGGTTGGTTGCAAATGGAAGGTTTTCTTTTTTAAGGCTGAGTAATATTCCATTACATATACACACAGCAATATGCACTACAATGTCTTTAACTATTCAAGACATATTTTCATGTCTTGGCTACTGCGACTAGTGCTGCTATGAACGTGGGAGTACAGATATCTTTGGGGAAAAAATCTCATTTCCTTTCTGTTCTCTCACTTTTAGCACTACTCTGTGAAAATACACCAGGGTTTGAGGCAGGAAAACTATATTTCCAAGTTGGCTCTCCTAAGAAATAGCTAAGGGATATGGCCACATTTTTTTTTGCATCAGTAGTTTGATTTTTTGAATCCCCTCCCCCAGACACCATGAGAAATGTTGGAATGGAGTAAGACTGAATGAGAAGATGTTAAGATAATTTCATTGTGTGAAGCTATTGCATAGTATTAAACATGACCAAAAGTGGTTTATTGAAGTCTGTTTGGTCTTCTCCTTTGCTTTTATTCCCATCTCCTGTTGAATAGATTAATAGACTCTGATGCCAGGTTACTCTGAAGACTATGGCAAGAAAGACCCTCACAGCTTTTCTTCCACTAGAAAATCTCACCCTGCAATTGCCTTGCTTTTTTCCCTTGATAGAAGGCCTAATTCAAAAATCAGTCCAGATTCTTTTGAGGCAAAAAATTCCAAACATTTTTTTTTCTTTTGGTATTCTAAAAATCTGCCAGCTCCTGTAGGAGTCATGGCAGATATTATTTTGCAGGTCATCCTAGTTTTCTTTTACCACAGACTAGTGAGATTTGGTATAAATTAGAGCCCAGGGAGCAAATGGCCTGCTCCTGAACCTTCTCCTATGGGTTTTACTCATGTCTACCAGTTACAGTGGTGTAGATTATGTATTCATGGGCAAGAGCAGGTAACATAACCTAAAGGAGAGGGTCAATTAGTATACATTAAACTTATAGGAGCTAAGGCTTCTTTTTAATAAGACAAAATTCAGGAACTTCCTTTGCATACTGTAAGAGTTCATTAATAAGTAGTGAGTTACTCAGAAATTGAAACTTGATCAATGCCATCACAAAAGATAGAATCAAGTTAGTTACCCAAATCACTGAGGCCAAAGAAATACGATGTCAATTTTCTGGGTATTTTAGGCCAAAAAATTCTAGAAGAACAACATAAACTTTATATTCTGCTGGATTTGGATTTAAATTAATTTGGCCCCTTCTGTGTTAAAAGGTTTGACCTGATTGTCACCCTCCTGATAGTGGCTAGGAATGAAGATTCTAGAATCAATCAGACACCAGCTTAGATCCTGGTGCTACAATTTATATGTTGTGTGACGTTGGGCAAATCAATTTCTTATTTTCCTCATCAAAAAAAAAAATAATTGGCATAGTCATGTCTACATCAGATTGTTACTAGTAAGAGTCAATGAGATGATGTGTGGAAAAGCTTACCATTCACCACTGTCCTTGGCACATAATTTTGGGTTCCATAAATCTTAGCTATAGTTTTATAATGACGATAATGATGGGTATCATCGTAAGCCTTTATCATTTTCACCTACATATTGAAAATAATTTCATTCAATTTTTTAAACAATTGTATTGAAGTATAATTTTCCCACTGAAAAATGGACTCATTTTCACTATTGTTTTGACTGACGGAAAAGAAAGGGTAGTAAAACTCTCTAGACACCCTCTTCTTCCACTATCTCACCGCAGGAACTTCCCAAACTTTACTTATTTCTATTGTTAATTTGTACACCGATGATAAGGTTAATTCAGGGACTTGTTCATGGTGGTTTGGTGTGTTAGTGTATGTGTGGTGTGTGAGTGTGTGTGAGTGGGCGTGCACACAGTATGTCCTTTAAGAAGGCCCAGTGAAAGACTTCTTGAGACCAGTCACTTTGAGTTAATTATCAAGTGTGTTGAGTTTTTGCTACAGTTCAATCCTCTGCTAGACCCCAAGGAGAAGAGAGAGATGTAAGGCAGAATCCTGTTCCTCAAAAGGCCATACATGCACAAGTATACCTACAGGTTGATAGGAAGAAGATGGAATTTAGCGTCAGAAGATCAGATTTTAATTCCCTTTTTCATCATTCACTACCTTTGTGGCTTTAGATAAGTCATGCAGCCTCAGAGACATCTTACCCCCAAATAAATGCAAAAGGATTGTCATGAGGCTCCATTGTAATAATGTGTGTGAAATCTCTTTGTAAATTGTTGATGAGGTCACTGGAATTCACAAATATGAGTTAAAATAATATTCAGGTGCCAAATTGTATGATTCAGACATCAGTCACCTTGAGAGGTGCAAACTATAGGCTGGAGTTATTAAGGGGTGTTTGCTGAGCCTTCAGTAGGTGGAAAAGAGGGGGAGGTGGTCAGTCTTGCTGGAGGAATTAAAAATAAGCAAAGACTCCATAGGCTATATCCAATTGGAGGGCATAACTACCAGGGTAGTTATACTATATGACTTCTCTTAGGCAAAGACTTTCTCCTTCCAGTAGAGTTACTTATGATTTGTCTAGGATTGTTAGCCCCACCAAGGAAGAGCCTCTTTCTTCTCCTCTAGTGCTTCTTGCACCACTTATCAAGAATAGGTACTCAATAAATGCTCAAAAACTGGAATAAGGGATGGATGGTTATGTAAGCTGCTGGTCTTGTCTCTCTACTTTCATATTATGTAAGTCATCAGCTACTGAATTAGGCACTATCTTTTAACTCCCTCGATGTAGTACAGCCCCATCTGCTGTTGGGATTTATGAAATTCTTTGCAATGATGTCAACAATACCTTGTATGGTTTTTCTCCAACTTGCCCCAGAAGACTCCTTACCCCCAGCGAACAATAAGGTGACCAGCAAGTCGTGTGAGTACAACGGGACCACTTACCAACATGGTGAGCTGTTTATGGCTGATGGGCTCTTTCAGAATCGGCACCCCAATCAATGCACCCAGTGCAGCTGTTCGGTAAGACCCTGCATCTTAATGTCTCTGCTGGCCTCTACCCCAATAAGAGATTACTCTCTACTTGCATTTTCACTCTGAGCCTACACTGTATGGTTTTTGAATAGAAGACAGAATCATCAAAATCCTAAGTCTCCCAGCCCATTCACACTTCCCTGATCATTATCAACTCTGAACAGTTCTATCCTGGTCTTAAAGCTTTAGAACATCTGAAACAGACAGAGATGGGCTGGTGGTCTTGATCTGCACTCCTGCTGATCTTAGTTACGCCAACAAAGCCTTCATCTGAAGGAGTCAATTATTTGAAGCCTGGGGAATACAGTAGTTGGGAAAGACACTGGCACCCTCTAGGGCTACAATTCACTAGAAATTCACTAGAAATTCACTAGAAAATAGTCTCTCTCGGTTCCCATCTCTGAGGTATGCTACTAACCTGGCCATTTGTGGTGTCCTGCAATAAAAAAACTCTCAGCAGATGCTTTCTTATTATTTCTATGACATTACTTAAGAGAACTCTGTACTTCAGGAATAAGTTATACTGATTATATTTTCATGTTACTGTGCAGTCAAAAGAATGTAATAGATGGAACCAGAAAATGGATTAAAATGGGTGTTTAGATGGAATTCTGAAGGAATGAAGTTAGATGCAGAAACAACTTTTCTGCCTGCAAGGAGTATTGAACAGTAGACTATAAAAGCAAATTAATAGACTCTCTTCCCTTGGGCATTTTTAGTAATGACTCAATAGTTTGGGAGACTTTGATTGCAGCCTTGCTTTTTTGGTAATTTTTCAGGAACCCTCTTAGCCCCAGAAAGATATGCTTCTAAGAACTAAGAGCAAGGCTTAAGAAAGAGAAATGTTTGGAACAGAGAATTTTAGGGAATGGAGATTATGCAGAGACAGACATAACCAGCAAGTAAATTTGATCCTCTTCCTTGCCTTGTGCTGGACTAGGCTGTCAATTCACATCATCTTGTGTAGTTTGTAGGGTAGTCCCCCCTTATCTGTGGTTTTGTTTTCCATGGTTTCAGTTACCCATGGTCAACCGCAGTCCAAAAATATTACATACAATAAAATATTTTGAGAGAGAGGGAAAGGGAGAGACCAAGACCACATTCACCTAACATTTATTGCAGTATATTGTTACAACTGTTCTAGTCCACTATTAGTTTTTGTTGTTAATCCCTTACTGTGCCTAATTTGTCAATTAAGCTTTATCATTGGCATGAATATATAGGAAAAAACATATCGTATGTGTAGGTTTCAGTACTACCTGCGGTTTCCCCACCCATGGGGATCTTGGAACATATTCCCTGAGGATAAAGGGGGCGGGGGGTGGGGGGGGCTACTGTATTATCCCAGAGAGCATATCTCCTTGATTTGAAAGGGAGGTTCTAGTGAATGTTACAATACGCAGCAATTCCTCAAATCGTCATTCCTTGAAGTCCCCAACATCAAGTTGGGGTGTGATGGGGACTAAGGAATCAATGACCAGAGAAGAGACAAGCCAGACTTACACTTGGTGATTGGGGTGCCCTTGGTCACCCTCGCATGGACTGCTTCATGTTATCTTGGCCCAGGATGCATGACGAGGATTGCTCACTGTCCTGTGACTTAGTCTCTGGGATGGGCAAAGAGTAAATGGGGGAAGGGGAAGCATAATAAAATTATAAAGTACCTAGAGATGACTTTGGGAGAGCAGGGGGGAAGGACATGTTTTGAGCCACTAATCATCCCAGGTACTGAATTAAACCTTTTATTTTATCCCAGATCCTCTGACCTTAACTCAATTTCTCCCTGGCAGGAGGGAAATGTGTACTGTGGTCTCAAGACTTGCCCCAAGTTAACCTGTGCATTCCCAGTCTCTGTTCCGGATTCCTGCTGCCGGGTGTGCAGAGGTAGGTGGCGCCTATCCCAAGGCCTGCGGTACTGCCATCCTGAGAAGAGAGGAAAATACTGTCCAGTGTCCTAGGAAGGGCACTTTCTATGGTAGCCTTGGTTTTTAGCTGTGCTTTCCTTTATACAAGGAAAAAAAAATCAATTAAAACACTGATTTTAAGGGCTACTGCGCTAGATGGGTGGCAGGGAAGGGTGGGAATCAACTAATGTGAAAGTGAGTGTCTTCCTCTCTCCTTCCTTAAATCCCTTCTACCTTGCCCCCTACATTACTGTATTATAAAGGACAGGCCATTTTTATCCACCATCTTAAAAGGAGAAATTGTCCTTGCAAAGCATTCATGTGACCATGTTGAGGACTGGAGGGAAATTTTAAGTATATTTCATACATCCCGAAGTAAAATGGTGACATACCCAATAAAAGCACAATGGCAAATGGAATACATTATCTTCTCAAGTTTTCTCCAAAATGGAATCACTTCTCAAGCCAGTTTTCTCTTCCTTGGGTTCCTTTTATTGGGTAATGGCACCACTTTTACTCTCTAGTTTCCGGGATCAAACACAATCATCTTTAATTTTTCCTTTAGTGCCTCTCTTCTCAAATCTATGAGCAGTCTTCTGACTTCTCCTGCTTTCCCTCTGGCAGTATCCCAATTTTGTATTCTTTCCTTCTATCTACACTTATTTATTATATATGCTGGGCACTGCACTAGAAAGCAAGTAAATATTGGTATATATTATAGACCTACAGGGTACTGCTAGACTATAATGGCATCTTTATGTCAATTACAATGAGAATTCTCTTACTTAAGATACTTTTCTGCTATTTGCCAGAAAATCCTTGTGCATGTACCCCCTTAGCTGTGGCACCCTTGTGCAGTGCACAACCTATTCATATTTGGTATGCATAGATAAAGTCTTTGCTCTTATGGAACTCACATTCTACAGAGAAGACAAATAATAAACAAATGCCTAAATATAAACAATGTCAGAACTATGAAGAAAGTAAACAGAGGACCAAGGTAGAAAATAAGAGGTAAAAGCATTTAAGTTGAGTAGTCTGAAAGGTCTTGCTGAGGTGACATTTAAGGTCAGACTTGAAAGGTGGAAAGGAGTTACCCTTGTGAAGTCTTGGGAGAGAACATTCCAGGCAGAAAGAAAGAAAAGTTCAAAGGCCCAGGCAAGGAATAGCTTACAACGTTCAAAGAAGCTGAGAACCAGTGTGGGACAGGTATGGGGATCGTGGTAAAAACTGGCATGAGGGCCTCCCCAGTGGCGCAAGGGGTTGAGCACCGTGTTGTAAGGCTGTCCGCAGCCTCTGCATGGCAGGTTCGATTCCCGGCCAGCCAGGGAGAAACCCACATGGCGTGGCAGAGCTCTCCTGCCTCGTCCGCTGCTCCCTTCAGCAGTGTCTTCGGTCATCTGCCTGTTCTGCTCCCCGCTGTGTCTCTGGTGAATTCTCTCCCTTCCCATGCCTCTGACTGTGCCCCAGTTCTTGTATAAATAGATAAAATCTTAAAAAAAAAAAAACTGGCATGAGATGACGTTGGAGAATTAAACAGAAGTCAGAACAGGCAGGACCTTCAAGGCCATGGGAGGGCATTTCAATTTCAGTTTGTTTAAGTGCACGGGGATGCAATAGGAAGGCAGTGAGTATGAGCGTGACATGAACCAGTTGATTCCTTAGATTTCACTGGATGTTTTGTCCAGGCTAGATTGGAGGGAGCAATGAGGCAAGTGGAGAGATCACAAGATGATGTGTGTGTGGTGGGGATGGTGGTTTGAAGAGTAGGTGGATTGTGGGTGTCTGGTCTGGGTACATAGTGCAGAGTAGTGGTTCACAATGGAACCTCTGGAGCCAGGCTGCCTCAGGTCTAATCCCTGTCCTGCTTTCTAGCTGGGTGATCATAAGCAATGTACTCACCCTTTGTATCCATATTTAAAGTGAGGGTAATGTTAGGATAAGGTGAGGATAAATACCACCTTTAAATGGTCATGAAGTTTAAATGAAATAATGCAGTTAAAAAAAAAAAAAACCTAGTCCAAGGTCTTGCATGTAATGCAAACTCAATAACAAAAAAATGAATAAATTTGAAATGTATTTTGATCATTCGTTCTCAACCATGGGTACATATTGGAATGACCTTGGTAAATTAATGTCTAGACTGGGGCGGGGGTGGGGGTTTGAGGTGATTTCCTTGTGCAGTGCAGCCAAAAGAAAACCCCTGAGTTAGAGGGAAAAATGATAGGATTTGCTGTTAGTTACTGCCAGTTTTACCTTTCCACATGATAGCCTTAACCGTGCCGTGCCCTTACTCAAATGTCTTTATGCTGACACATGTTGTACTTGAGCACAAGCCAGGCACAGTTCAAAGCACTCTACAGATACAATCTCATTTAACCCCATGAGAACCCTGTGTGGCGAGTGCAATTATTATCACCATTTTATTGATGATGAAACTGAGGTTTCATTAATAACCTAGTCCAAGGGCACATAGCTTGTGAGTTGAGGAGCTAGGATTTCAATCCTGGCAGTCTTGTTACAGAGCCCAGGCTCTTCACCACCCCACTGCCTCTGAAGGGGATGGCTTCTGGTTGCCACTAGACTATATGTCAACCTTTTCACTCTGACGGTGGAGGCCTTTCATGGTCTAGCTTCAGCTCACCTTTCTAGGCCTTCATTCTGCCATCCATGCACCTAAGGTACCACCCACATTGTTTCTGTGCTCTCTTCTCTTTGTACCTTTGCTCTCTAATCTCCCCCTCAGGGTTTCTCAAATTGTAGTGTGCTTCAGAATCACTTGGAGAACATGTTGAAATTCAGATCCACAGACCACAATTGCAGAGATGCTGATTCAGCAGCCTTGGGGTGTGACCCCAGGAGGTATAGTTGTACAGGCCCCATAGTTCATTTGGCTGCACATGATCCATATACTGTTGCTTTGGGAAGCCATTCCCAAGACCATGCAGATACCTAGGAGCAACTTGAAATGATTCTTTTACATCTGAGACTACTGGACTTAAATTAAGCTTATTAAAAGCCTGGATAAACTTGAGTAAACCAATGGAAAAGTAACCAATGGTAGTCTCGGGTTGGTCAGAGCATGTAATTTCAACGACATGGCAACCTAGTTGGGGTGAATGGGTGGCGGCTATTTTTTTAATTAATTTATTTTTATTATTGTTATTTTTTGTATATGCTATAAAATAAACTTTCTTATATTTATTTTTGGGTGGCAACTATTTTATGATAAAAACTGGAAGGATAAGACAGTGACTGCCTAGGGAACAATTATTCATATATAGTAAGGGTTGGGAGGAGCGTTTGTTGTCTCTTTCTGGAAAATCCTTCCCCTTCAACTGTCCCCTTCAACTGTCCCTGCCAGTTCCTCAGGATCCAGCTCAAATGCAGCCTCCTCAGATTCTAATTCAGGTGGTCCTTAAGTCACATTTTGATAAATATTATTGGATTGTTGGAGAAGTCATGACATATTTTTTCTGTTTTTCAAACAAAACTCGCCATGCCTTTTCTGACAACCCAATAGCTAGAAGGCCTTTTTCTCTTCTCTACCCCCTAACACCCACTTAATTTCTCCACTTTTAAATCCTGTATATCAAGGACCAACTGAAATGGCACTTCCTCCAGGAAGCATTTTTTAATTCCTACATGCTAGAAGTAGATCTCACTCTTCTCTAGACCCTCCAGCACTTAACTTGTGCTTCTCCAGTAGCACTTATCACTTTGTCACCTTTTATTATTTCTACCCATGTCTTATCATCCTTACCAATGTGTAAGCTCCTTAGGGCAGAAACTGTATCAGGTTCATCTTTTTCTACAAAGTAGATACTCTTTGAATAAATGTACACTACCTTGTAAGCACTGTCAGTAATTTAGTCATGGTGTGAACTAGATGCTACTAAAATAGATATGATTGTTGTATTTTCTTCTCTGAATTGCTGATTGGCTATGGGAGAGGGTACTGACTGTCCATTGGTTCATGGCCAATTGGAAGTTGCCTGGTGTCATTCTTGATGGTCACATTACTTTTCTCTCTTATCCCACTTTACTATGCCGTAATTCATATTTATTTTTTGAAAAAATGACCTTACTCTGATTACCAGTATATGCTTGTCTGTTTTAATATGCTCTTTGTACCAACCCTCATAAGTCAATATGGTTTACTTGCAGCTCAGTGTGATTTATGCTTCAGTAAGGCCCTGGCTCCTTCCATCCTCTTTCTCACTGTGTGTGTGTGTGTGTGTGTGTGTGTGTATCTATACCTAAGTGCATTATTACATTTCAGTCAGGAAAAATGGGTACTTTGTTTTTCACCCTTTTTTCCACCTTTGCCTCAGCTAAGTTTGAGTCTGCCCCTAAGGGAAGATAGTCCATATTTAGCAGGGGTGTACATGGGGACTGTTGCTAACATAACCACCTGTTCACTATCATGTAGCTATTAGGCTAAGATTATTTTGTTTGGGACAAAGATATGAGAAATCTAAAGTGAAGAACAATTAATAAAAGAAAGGAAATCACAAAAAGAAATGCTGCATCTATTACAACCAACGGTCAATGTAATACAAATAACATAAACTCTAAAGTTAGAAGAACATAAATTTGACATTGCCAAGCCCCCACCTACTACCTAATCACTCAGGACTGTGGTTTTCTCAGCTATAAAGTGGAGATTGTATTATCTACCACTCAGGGAAAGCTTGTAAATATGAACAGATTTTATGACATAAAAGTTAGAAGAAGGCTATTCCAGAGGTTTTGCTTAATAAGTGATGATTAGTACATTTTATGTAAGACGTATATCATATAAACTTATTTTATCATAATTAACACCATATAATATGAATATCATAATATATAATGTGCACACATTATATGATATTACAGTATATATTACAAAAAAAATTAGTATATTTGTTACCTTGGGGTTCAGTAGAATTTTCACCTCTATCTTCAGTCATCTAACCTTTTTTTTACTTTATCTCC